TTTTAGCAAGCGACAAAAATTTTAACTACTTTCCATGAAGCGCGTATGTTGGCATATTGTTATTTACTCTGTCATACAGGCTGAAATGCAGTTACTAATAATGAACCAGAAGATGGCTTGTGAAGTTGCGCCTCTAGAAATTATCAATTCCTAAATAAAAATAAACAGAAGTTTTCAGTAACCTTAACACTCGCTTATGGGCTAAAATTGACCGACGTTCGATGGGAGGAAGTGTCATCCCTGTGTATGCTAGTTTTGGCCTGGAGACCAAAAATCCACAGCAACAGTTGGTGGAATATTCACTGGAAGCGAAAACAGATGCGAAATCCGCAGAAGCTCAGCTGAAATCGCCAGGCTCGCGGATGAAGGCTAGGATCGATACAGTTAGTGAGCAACACTATAGCATCAGCTTCTTCAAGGTTTGCTTGCTACATCTTCTTTTCGTTTTTGTGCTTTTATACTGTGTTCCTGTGGGAAGAATTGATAGTTTCCTCCGGATCGGTATTATTCTTTAAATCTCCTGGCGGACCGTCTGATGTTCTTCCGTAATGGTTAACGGCTATCTTTCGCCAAGGCCCTACTAAAAGCTAACCACCAAGAAATTTATAGGAACCATGATGGAAACATTCGAATCATATAAAATGACGGTTACGTAGCCCTCATTTTGACAGCTTTGAACTGGGAAGGAAAACTATAAAAGTAAGTACCAAGAGTGTGATCCCTTCGCAAAAGGCACGTTATAATTTCCTTCAGTTCAGTGTGCCTCAGCCCAGTTCAGTGTCCATCCTGTTTCTTGAGCTCAATTTTTCCTCGTTCGTCTTTAAGATATCGTCATAGTTCAACGTAATTTTGGTACAGTTTGCTTTGTTGCTGGAAACGCCCACTGCGGCATCATATAACAGACTTATTTCAGAACGACGAACGCCCTTCATTCGTCGGTGATATCAATTTCGGAGACCATGGAGCAGAGATTGAATTTCGTGAGGGAAGGACGAGCGAAGTTAAATTACACGCGTCAGCTGTGATGAGTAATGACTACGAAGGGAAGCTTGACATATGGCACAGTGAAAGAGGCAAAAAAATCCAGGATGCACGTCTCTCGCTACTGGTCAGTTATCCATTTCCATTTTACTCTCGGAAATTTCAGCACAATTTATGAAACTGCAAAAAAAAAGCAATAAACTATAATAAGTTTACCACAAAGAATTGTAGATGGAAGAAAACAACGTGCTGAAGGGAAAAGCCTACCTCGGAGCAGCAGTCGACGATGACATTATGGTATTAGCATACTTTCATTGAATACTTTTTGCTTAATTATTAGTTTCATATTTACTTTGCAGAGGAGATGTATGCACTATCTTCGTAAATCGTCTGAAGAGTAGGTAGCTCGCCAAGACAGAAAGACGTGAAAACGCTTAGTAGTCGAAATTTATTTAGGAGATTGGGGTTTTTTAAATGTCGGGATTCCAGAAGAAAGCGAAAGAGGCCGCTTCGAGAAGCAGCGAGCTGACTGAAAGTTCATTTATGAGGGATGCTCTACTACCCATATTCTCGTCGCATAAGCAAATTGCCAATGATGTTATGGGAACTCTGGATGGAATGGTG